AATCCTGGGAGTTGAAGTCCACACATCTTAAAGTTGCCAAGGTTGAGAAACACTGCTCTAGATTAATACGCAGATTGCAACAGAAATATCCTTCCGTTTGTTACTTAAACAAGATAGGGAGAGCATACGGAGTGTGCCTTTTCAATTCTTTGCAGCCCCTTTGTCAGCAGTGGCCACGGGGAGCAGTGGCAGTTTCTTTTGCATAACTAAACAATGTGTTTGTGTATGTGTGTGTGCATGCACACCTTCTTTCCAAGAACTAATCAAGATGTGGGCATATGAGTTACCTCTGTATTTGTGTCTATAGTAGGTGGGGGTCTACTCAGGTGAGTGCCTATGTGTTGTCTGTGACGTGTAAGTGTGCTTGTGTTTCAGGTAGATCAAAATGCATTTGGGGATATGGGTGGCATTTAAGGTATTGGGCTAGAACTAGAACTAAGAAGGTTTTCCAAACTCAGGGAAGTCTCAAAAGATCTTCCCCCTCCCTCAGACACGGAAACTCACTGAGGAACTTTTGTTGAATGTAAACGCTCAGCCCTATTTAATCACAAGGCTATTGTGTGTGTTGGGGTGGGGGGAGGGAGACTGAGGAAGGAATGCTCTGTATCTGTATTCTGCCCTGAACTGCTAGAGGCTGGATATGAATACTTTAGGATAAAATAAGCTTGGAAATGTGTATGTTTGTAATTACCACCATGCATTCATAAACACCAAAATGCATGTATTTATATATGAGGATGGGTGTTTCCTTTGTTTGGTGATTTTCTTTTGCATTCTCCCTCCCCCCTCCCCCAAAGAAAGTACCTTCATGGAGAAATGGAATGGAATGGACCTAAATGGAATTGATCTGAAGTCCCCCGACAGTTTCCATATACTGGTTGCTGGCATAGGTCACGATTCAGAAGTTTTGCCTACTTCTCCTGGATTGTTTTGGCAATCTTTCTTTTCTTTCCTTATTTGATGCATGGCTGTTGGCAAGCTCTTGTGCCACATCGTAAAGATCTTTTGAAACTTCCCTGAGTTTGAAAAGTGAATTGCTTCATTCCATGAGGAGCTGCCTGTTGAATAGCCCTGAGGCACAAATGCATAGAGGGAGCTAACTTTTCAGTTTCCTGGCTTGTGGCTGTATAATGGTTTCAAGCATGTCAATAATTGAAAGGAGGAAAGGCCTGCTCTTGCAGAACGGTAATGAATATTAGGGTAAATAACCAATGATTATAGTGTCCATGCATTCCTGAAAAATGACAGGGTTAACTAGTGAGTTAGTATTCTCCTGCTGTTTTGGATTATCTCTCCCACAACCCTCAATCATTGGTCATGTTATCTGGGGCCTAAGATGGTGGTAGGACACTTATCTATCCTGGGTAGAGCATGTTGTTAGTATCTTGAAACTCTTAGCCTATGGAGAGATGCCTAAGTAGTTTCAGCTAACTTTTCCCTGTAGAACAAGATCTGACCAACTCAACACTGCATATTGCCCCCCAGTTGTCTTTGTACTCTCTTTCTTTTGGTTTGCCCTGGAGCCCGCTCCAACTGGAATGGTTGAAAATCAGTGGCACTGTTTCTTCCTTTTTTGGAAGTGGTAACCCATCAAAAATCATAGTGTAAAACTTATAATACAGTTAAGAAATTTAGAACTTGTAAAGGAAAAAGCCAAAATTTCCCTCCCCAAAACAGGGGGACAAAAATCCTTAGTCTGTCCTTTTTCTTTTTGTATCATATTCTGAAATACTACAGACCACCGAGACCATCACCAAGTTCCAAGGATTGATAGATTCATAGATTGGCTGTGTTCATACAACATGCTTACCCTGGTTACTGTGATCTGACTCATTTTCTGGGTTTCCACACTTCACTGAATACAATACAATAAACTAGCCAAAGAGGCTGGTTCAAACACACAATACAATAAGTCTTGAAAAGCTTAACAAGTATAGAGAGTAAGGGAGTTGACCTTGATGGAGATACACGGAAACTTTACCTAGGCAAAAGGGCTGAAGCATTTTTTTAAAGTCCAGAAAAATGTGGAGTTGGATTTTTCTGGTCTGGTCTACCTAGTGGGGCTGGCATCAAGTTTAATATTGATCAGATTTGCCCTGTGGACTGAATGCATCAGCTAGGACACAGACACTTTGGTTATTGGCTGAGGAGTATATATGAATATGCTGTCTTTTATTGTCTGATCATCTCAGTCTGTAGCTTCTCTGGGTTTCGATGCTTTGATCAAACCCCAAGCAAAGACATCATGAGGAAAGTTTCATGGAATTTTTTGGAGGAAACAATGCTACTGTCTCCATTTAGTGGGAATCCTACCTTGGAGAAAGCATTGTAGATTTTTTTCCTTCTCTTTGAAAAAAAAATGGAGAAATCATCCACCAAATAACTCAGCCTAGAAATTTGATGGGGAATTTTGAAAGGCTATTTATTCCCTGCTTACTGAAAAGCTACAGCTTTTAAACAGAATCTTATGCTGCCAATAAGGAAGAGAATCACAATCTTTTAAGAAAATTGGCAGGAAAACTAAACATATTATACTGAGGCAGGTTTGTAAATTGTTTGAATTGGAACAGTTGGATTAAGCTGTTCTCATTGATCAGGTTTTCCACTGATCAAACAAAAACAACACAGACTATAATTTGTTTAAGCTTTCATATTTGATATCGATTCATTTAGGACTGTTCCTAGGGATGTTTACTATATTGTCTTCATCCAAATTTCCACCCAGATTTAATGATGCATTTCTATTGTGCTTTCCTTTAATAAAAAAAATCCATATTTTGCCTTGATTTTCCATGTGAGAAATTAGATGCACTTTTCACTGACATGTTTTCCCTTTGCGGTTTAGTAATCCACATAAATATATGGATGTAAATATATGGATGTAAATCAAACAAAAGAAGCTTCCCATCACTGGATAATCTCATAACACTCCTTTCCAATCTTCTCAGCCCACCATGACAGGATGAGGCCAATGACATCATATGCATATTCTTAGCATCACACAAATGGCCTGACTTAGATATCAGACACGCAAGCATCATTGCATTGTTTCTGCAATGTCATGACATGTGCTATTTTGATGTAATCATGGCTTGTTAGGAGCACTGCTGCAACACACATGTATCATATGATGAGATGGACTATTTGGGTATCTTCTGTACCTTCCAAATGGTATGATGGGGAATTTTGAAAGGCTATTTATTCCCTGCTTACTGAAAAGCTACAGCTTTTAAACAGCAACTTTATGGTCATTTGCAACTCTCTAGAATATAAAGCAAAGATAATTTATTCATACAATCATCACAAATAATGATCTACGTATTTGATGGATTTTTTACACATTTGTTTTTCCAAATCTGTATGAAATTTGTAACAGGGAGATGGACTAAAATCTGATTAGGAAGGGCTGCCCTTCAAATAATTGGATGAGAGAATATTGAAGATGAAGAGAATGGCATTGAAAAAATTGGCAGAACTTTGTGCTATCCTAAATATATTATGGTTTCTTTTGCCAACATTTTCAGCATGTGAGTATAATGTTCTGCCCTCTTCCTTAGCA